GACTATGCAGAAATATCTCCTAAGACAAGGGGAGGACGTTTGAAGAAAGGGATTCGACTTCAACAGCTTCGACTTTAAAAGCTTTGGTAGTAAGAAATGTTGTGAGTGAATCAGATAATGAATCAGAATCTGTAAATTAGGCTACTTTGTCCTTGCTAACTGATATATCATACTTTGCTAACTGCTTGTGGAACAAATGTTTACTGCAAATTGACAACTAATGCAAATTGACAACTAATTCTGCTTAGGATAACTAGTATTACTTAGGATAAGTAGGACAATGTAGAACAATGGTAATACTGCTTAGGAATACTGGTACTACCAAGGAGAACTATTAGTACTTATGAATATTAGTACTACTGCGGATAACTGTTAGTATTTAAACTACTGGTACTACTAAGTATAACTATTAATACTTATGAGAATCGGTACTACTTAACTCTAACTGTGGTGTACAGTGATTGATATTTTGTTTGGATTACAGGATAAACAGGTATATGATACTCTATCGATGCGGCCTCGAAACAACAAGTCATTTGTGTTCTAGAAAGATCCATTTACAATGGATGGGAAAGAAATGCCATGAGAAAAGCAGCAGATAAAGCGGATGAAGATGACAAAGCAGTTGGGAAGAAAAAAAAAACACCAGAGAAACTAATAAGAAGAACAACAAGAAACACATGAAGAAGTGAGACTTGGAATGTTGAACTCGTATCTTTTTAGAATGAATTATTTGGTAATGATGGTTTTTTATAAGTATTACTATGTATTGATGTTGATGTTCTTTTGTGTTTTTAGGTACTTATGTGTTGGAGAGATTTAATGAAATGTAAAACTCATATTTTATAATGTTTTGGATTTTGTACTACTAGTAATATTGAGTACTACTGTACGTTATGCAACTACTAAGATAAGTAAAACATGTTTATCACATTTTTCATCAATAATTTATTAATAAAAATATATAAATACTTATAACACATGCGCCGTCAAAACGAATTAAAAATTATATTTATTTTACTCATAGTTATACTTGGTTTTCGAGTAGTATTTGTTTGTACATAGTTATATTTCGACTGTTGTCACGTATAACCAGTAGTAAGTACATAAGATTATAANTTNTCTAGTAGTANTGACCCAATTGATCACTTTAAATATATTTCCTATCATTTCGTATACTAAAATGTCCGACAACACCATAATCAGATATTTCACATAATAAAGTGGCTTGTAACTCATACAAGAACCATATGTATAAGGTAGAGCTTTAGTAAAATTATATGTTTTGCTCTAAATTCTTTGAAATTATTCATATGTTTCCAGTGCTACCTAAGTATCAAGTAGACACAGTCGTATGTACATAAACGAACGTAGTAAGAAAACAAAACGTAAAGAGAAAAAGAGACAAAATAATCAACACAGTCATATTCAGTCATACGTAGTTATACCTGGCAGGGAGAACTACCAAAATAACAAAACACAGTCATACTCAGTCATACGTAGTTATACTTGGTAAAGAGAATTACCAAAATAACAACACATAGTCATACTCAGTCATATGTAGTTATACGTGGCAGTGACACCATTTGTACCTAGTTAGGTTCTTGGACATTGGATTCCTGCAAATTGGTTTCCACACGTCAACCAATTTACATATGTGGGACATGATATATCGTCCTAGAATATGCCATTACCCACTGCTCAACCGTATAAAACTTAGAGACAAACTCATAATGACGGACCTCAGTCCTAGTTATACCTAGTTATCCCAGTTATAAACCAAAATTGCAAACGAAGCAACGAAGAAAAGTTAAAAACGACGATGCGTAGACATGAGTTCACTTGATTGACCATTACGCCACCAAGGTAGATTTTTCTTATATATATTTATAAACAACTTCTCTCTCCATTATCCCATACCAAATATCATCAAATGATTCAAATCCATTACAAAATATCACCAACAAATTGAATCTCCGACAATACAGTGAACTCGAATCTCTGACAATCAGTTCCAAACCATGGATCAGAATCAACAACCAATTTTTCAATCATCTTCGTAATCACAGGTCAAACCATACCAAAACTCCTCGAACAATTCTACTACGACAAAATCAATGGAAGCGAGTACAACGAAATCCGTCAAAATGACGACATTTGGACTCAATCTCTTCTCCAAACCGTTGGTTTCCCTCTCCTTCTCCTCCCTTTCATCATCCTCACCAAGAAACACAACCAACAACAACAACCTCGGATCACTTCAGATCGATATCATTACAAATCCTTAGCCGTAATCTACATTTGCATCGGAATCATCATGTCGGTTCAAGGAAGACTTGCCGCCATGGGAAAACTCGATATCTCGTTTGATATCTTCACACTGATCTACACAACGCAGCTTTTCTTAACTCCAATTTTCGCAGCTTTCATCAACAAAAGCAAGTTCAATAGATGGGTCGTGATCTCTATAATCTTAGCAATCGTCACCGGAGCTCTCACTCTCTCCTCCTCCTTCGGCGGCGAGCAGCTTTTCTCACTCAAGGTTTCTCTGTTTTATGCTCAAGCTTCCTCTGTTTTGCTGGGAAAAAACGTGAAGCGGAGAAGAAGAAAGAGAAGGTGGACGTGGAAGGTTTTGATAGGTAGAATTAATTTTAGGTTGTTGAAAATATTTATTGTATATATTGGTTGTTGAATTATTAAATGAGATTATATAAATAATAAATATTAATATATTAAAGAGGGGGTAAAATTGAGAGAAAATGTTTTTGGGGTAGTTAGAATAGCGTAGGGTTGTTTGAATTTTGTTTTTGGTTTTGGGGTTTATAAGGTTACATCCCACAAAATAGTCTAACCATAGTCCAATATGATTATTCACCTAATAATAATTTGTTTGTGCGTTATTCCATCTAAATTCCCTAAGAAAAATATCTTTTATAAGAGAAAATCCCAACAAAGATACTTTAGAATGTGAATACTTTTACTCTTTTAGTTTTATTTTGAGTTTATTTAAGCGTTGCATAATTTTTCTCTGTGCCACAAGATTAGCGTAACAATCACTTCTCATAGTTTACACACAGGAACCTTTACCCATCTTTCATTTTTTAAACATTGTGTGCTTGTTTTTGGATTCGTGGTGGCTATTGGTTATTTTGCTTAGTGGCGCGATGTGTTTTTATTTTTTTTTCCCGGCAAGCCCTTTTTAAGAGTTTAGTTTATCTCTTATAGGTAAAGTTTAGACAC